TTTTGCTGACACTCCTTCATTGTCTCTCTAGTCTGTGGGGGGTTGTTCAGGATGGCCTTGGGGAGAAAGGACCGACCGTTTTTTTGTGCTTTTTGAATTGCTTGTTTGACACCACGACACTCCAGATGCCCTGGAGCAAAAGTAAAGTCACGGCGCCTACAAGAAGCCTCTCTGGTGTCACAGGTCTCGACAAGCAGCCGCCACCCAAGGCATCCCCACTGCAGGCACTGGAAAGGTGTTGAAGAGAGCGTGTCTCAACACATCAGACCCCGAAGGGATCCGAGGGCAATCATAGTACACACGATACAAGGAGAAAAAGGAAAAGACTGAAAAACAAGCATGAGATACAAACCACTAGCTTGAATAAACATCAGATATATTTTTAGTATGGTGGTGAGGAGGCTGGATTTTCTGGAGGGAATCAGTGCAAAAGTTTAGAGGTGTATCTTTTTACCTGCCTTTAGCTAATGATCCATGGTTGTATTCATAATTTTAGTGTGCATTTTATTTTTAAGTATACCAATTGGTGTAATTTTGGATGCATGATCAGACTATGTTTCCTGGTTTTGTCATTTTATCATCATCCAAATTGAGTTGCATGATGACATCATGAATCAACAATGAACTGACTTTAACTGAAAAACTGACTGTTTACTATTGTCCTCCTACATTATCGACACACTATTTTCTAGTTTAACACTGTAAATTTGCTTTGACACAATCTGTTTTGTATAAAGCGCTACATAAATAAAGGTGACTTGACTATCAGAAGCAACTTATTGTACATTGACTGATGCTCACTTTGAGCGGTGTTGATACAGTTAACTATAAGAATGATTTGTGAAAACTGACGTAAAAAATATAAATATTAAATGAAAAGCATAAAAGAAAATGAATGTTTCAAAAAGTTTAAGTTAATTAGAAATATTAAAAAAATTACATTAATAATTAAAATGAAGGGGAAAAAATTATCAAATTACTAAAACTTAAACTAAAACTAATATGAAAACTAAAAATATAAAAAATATATGCTAATTCATAATCTTAATAAATACCATAATAGTATATAAATAATGTAAAAAATAAACTGGCTTTGAGAAACATGATGTTGAAGCAATTAGTTATTATTTACTCACCCATTCTTGCATGAAGCACAAAAATTATGTTAGGCTGAATTTTGAGTCTGATGTTTTATTCCACACAAATTGCCAATCCCCCAAATGCTCAAAAGTATTATAAAAGTATATGGTAAAAGTAGTCTATACAACTCATGCAAGTCTTCTGAAGTCATATAACTTTTGTTTGAGGAAGACTGATCTAACCAAAGTTCACATACAATTTGCACTATATTCCAAGTCATCTGATTTAATATTAATAATCTTCCCCTCTGCTATAACTTTCAACTGCATTATGATATTTCAATATATTAAAACATACTGTATTAGGACGCATTACATGCAAGAACCAATGGTGTTTGCCATCCAATCTGGAATGACATCTAAATATTCCAGCTTGTGTTCACTTAAAAAATGGCATAAGATTTGTGAACTCTTTAGATTAGTGAATAATGGCTTAGATTTCAGTCTGCTCTTCACAATAAACTAACACGAGACTTTTAAAGAAGTTGTATATACTTTTATGGACTGCCGTCATTTGGAAATAGAGCAGTTCTTTTTGGTTGGAACAACATGAAGGCGAATAAATTATGACAAAATTTCAACTTATCCTTTATAAGTGCCATGCTAAAGGTCAGAATGATGACAGAGGTCCTCAGTTGTGTGTCAGGTCCTCAAAATAGCTCTTCTCAAAACCCTGGATATGGATAAAACCGCCTATTCTAGACTTCTTGAAACCGATCCAAAGTTATAGCCAAGGGAACATTATGTAAGCCAGCATCTGTGCACTAGTTAAGTGTCATTACTAAAGATGTTCCTCTCATCAGCTCCTAATGCATGCTGGATCATATTTGAGGCAGCTGCCTATGAACAACACTAACTACAGGTGGTGCACTATGCTCGCAGTTAATGCCATGCACAAATCTACAGTGAGTTTTCAGATAATTAAGAGACGCTCAGTGAGATGAAACTACAGGATTCTGAATCTAATCCACCAGCTGCAGTGCGGAATGAGCCTTCATTTAAGATGCAATGCCTGGGTGCCAAATCACAACATTTTGTTAAAGCAATACCGATGAGTGGCCATGCAGTAAAACACAAAGGCATGCAGCGAACACAAACAAGAGGATCAGAGGTCCTGAATGTAGCACCTTGTAGTGAGTTTTCATAATTACAACATTCATTCAGAGTTCACTGCATTAATGAGCCTTAATAGACATCATACTCGCCATTCATTAGATCAGCAATAACATGTGTTTTCTGCTAAGCAGAAACAAAAGTACTGGACAAGGATGGACACTGGCCTTTGGCTAACAAGATTTCCACAAGACTTTCAGTAATCCTACTCACAGGACTAACTGGTTTGATGCTGATTTTGAATTCTTCTCACAGAAAACAGTGGGAAAAGAAAGACAGATGTGTAAGTTACTGACCAACCATGCACTTCACTGCCAAGTGATCTGCCAATTGGAGTTTTGATTAAACATTTAGTTAAAGGATATTGTCATCATTTACTCACCCTTACATTTTTCCAACTCCAACTACTACTTTATTTGTTCCAGAAAACATAAAGGAGCTCTAATGCAGAATATCTGAGCTTCTGTTTTCCACACAATCACAGTAGATGGTGATTTATATTGCTAGGCTCCAAAAAGCAACATAAAAGTATAAATTAATAAGTCCATGTGACTTAAATGGGAATTCATCATGTGGGGTTTTAATAAATGTTGGCTGTTTTTTTTTTAATCGGTGCTACAGAGTACACATTGTTCATTTACATATACTACCAACACTGTAACAATCCAAAATTGGCAAACGTACAGTTTATCTGCTATTTTCAAATTCTTCGAGAGCCATACAAATATAATTTGCAGTCATCTTTGTATGAAAAACAGAAGCTTTGACATTCAGCCTAAAATCAAACATTTTATTTTTCACAGAACAACAAAGAAAATAATACAGTGCCAGAAAAACATGATTGTGAGTAATGGCGAACTTTAACTATCTTTAGAGTTGGCAGTATTTTGTAATTATTAGAAACCTGCGTTGGAAAGGCTTGGAAATAAGCAGATTAATTGCTGGTGCTGGGCATCCCTGTTGCTTAGTGTTTACTGGTGTCCCAAAATACACCACACAAATGCTGCTCAGACAGCGTAGCGGGGCAGATTCAAAAGGGTGCCTGGACGGGCCTCAAAGTTTAGTGTGCAAAAGTCCAATTTTTGCCAGGCGACATTAGCCTTTCACCCTTTGATTTCATGGAAAATTCAACAGCACAACAGAATAACGGCTGCCAATTAGTTTCAAAGCAGAGGCATTTGGCACCATTTAGTCATCAGTAATTTGAAAATTCTTTATTTTATTAGAAATCTAGGTCACATATTTCAGTTGCATGGCAAAGGGTTGGAACTGCTCATCCTGGCCTCTAGAGCAAAAGACACGGCCTCTGCTGACACCCTCATGGGATTATACAGATGATATTATCAAGGCAATAGGCAGTATTGTGCACAATACACTTAAATAGGAATATTTCCCAATTCAGAAAGAACTAGTCCCTGAGAAAGTTTCAAAGACATATGCACATGACCACATCCAGACACTCCCACCCGGCCACCTTAGTAAAAACTCTTGTTGTAGGTGACTTTCAACCTTAAAGGAAAATAGACTAAAAAAAAAAATGTATTCTTCAGGGACCACCGCATTAATGCACAATGCATAAAAAAGAAGAAAAATGGCTAATGCAAATAAAAGAATGGCAAACATCACAGTGTCAACAGTTTAACAGGTGATAAGCTTGTTTTCTTACTGAGGGGATCAATGGTCCCATGGACAGCTGAATTTCAACACTGGTCATCCTACTGCACCCAAAAGCCTTGGTTTCAAAAAAATTGCCACAATGTTATAGTTCTCCAACTGCTTCTAAATGAGGTTACAAAAGCAGTTGACCTCAAAAGTCTAAGGCTGCTGCTTACTGATCTAATCTGACTGTATCAAAACCGTACGACTATAATGATAAAAGCGTGGTTTATATGGTACTTTTTTATCCATCCAATTCAAGTAAATATAACATGGTTTCCACAAATTTTGACAACGAGTTTCCATAGTTTTTCCAGTTGTTTGTGACCACCAGATAGGCTTAACATAACTAGTCAAATTTGGACCTGCAGCGACTATAGAAATGTCCATGACTTTTCCAGTCATTTATTACTGCATCCACCGGCAGCGACCTGCATTGATGAAAGAACCTGAACTCAGTGACCGCTGGTGACAGGATGTGGGTGTGTCCAGCAACTCAACAAAGTTGAGAACAGTTTAACTTTAGCAAACATGGAGCACCATGTTTTTGTAGATATGTTTTCCACAAGCTACATATTGCTCTATAAAAATTACAATTTCTAAAATCCATACAAAATTACTACTTTAAACTCTGGTATATATATATATATATATGTATTTTTTTTTTATTTTTATTATTATTATTTACATGAATAACCATGACTTTTTAATAGCCTAATGGATCAATCCCCATGACTTTGCCAAAGAAAACCCAATTTTATCACTGCCTGACATTCCCAGGTTTTCCATTGCATTTCCATTATGTACTGATATAAACAAAATCAAGCACTTATGAGCAGATGCACCAGAGGCAGTTAAGACAGAAGTTGGTGATCTAACAAAGGGGCTGTATAAATAATCAAACAAGATGGTGGAGAAAAGGGTGCCAGAACAAAGACCCTGCACTAATATTTGACTCAGGGTTGATTTCCCAATTCCTGACACATGGACAGAAGAGGAGACATAAAAGTGCAGCATCATCCGAGTGATATGCATACATTTCGGCAGTGGCTGTGCATCAATTCATGTTCACAAACAAGTCTTGAGACTCACCACTGTGTCCTGACTCCTGGTTGGTCATGGTGGGCTCCAGGTCCACTTTGTTCTCGCATCGTCCGAATCCCTGTATCAGCTGCTCCAGCGGTAACTCTGAATTCGCGCTTGGGTAACACCTCAAACCGCTGCCGCATCTCGGCGTGTAGACTCCGCACAGCTCGCCCTTCTGCCGGGCACAAACCGGGCAGCAACCGCAACCCGGTTCCCTGACAATCTCGCAAGATGTGGTGAGCTTGGGACACGCCGCCTGGCGCTCCGCGGTGCAGCTCGGGCAGCGGAACACGATCTCCCCGAAAGAGCCGTGCAGGAGCAACAAACTGCAGAGCAATGCAGGAAACATGCCGTTATCTTTAAGTCTGACAGATGTCGGGATTCTGCAGGCGACTTCAGGTGGAAAAGTAAAAGTGCGTTTGGGGACAGGTGAGGTTCGCCGGAGAGCTCTGCTGGGTCCTATTTGCTGTCATGTTACTCCGAAATGACATCACGTCAAAAGCAAGTCAAAGTCAAAAAAACATAAATAAGTCGAAAAGGTGCGACTGTTGGCTATTTCATCTGCGAGAGATACGCTGCCTGTTTTGGGGGAAAAAAATGTTTGTTAGCTTGTGTGTTTGTTATGGTTGCCAGTACTGTTATGTTTCTTAAGTTTAAATTAATATAGTAACAGTTAAAAAAAAACTAATAAATTACGTTTATTTTTATAATAATAAAAGCAATTATTATCCATTGACTTGACTGCGATTTTCTATCAGTTTTCGGCGCGAACAATAGAAGTTTCTCTCGCGCTATTGACCTTATAGCTCCGCTGGTTGTCTTCGGTTTTCCGTTTGTTTTGCCACAGCGTTAAAGGTATGGAATTACTTTTGTGCCAAAAAAATTTGTATTTTTTTTTTTCAAGAAACTTATGAAAATATACATTGAAACTGAATAAAATGTCTTTGAAACCAGAAAAAAAATCGTTTTTCAATACACTCCATGTTTTGCTTACTGTTTTCTCCTCTTTATTTCGCTGATCTGAACTTACAAATGGGCTTTCGGAGTTTTCATTTACACTTCTGAAATTTTCATTTATGCTTCTGAAATTAAGGTTGTACTCATTATGAATGACCCCCCCCCCCACACACACACCTAATATTAGCACAGGACCTCGGTGTTCGGCGAAATATGGTAGGTAATTTGTGGGGGAATTTTTACTTTACAAATTACAGACATGGCCGATTTGCACGGGATTAAGATCACAGACAACCTCCGCAATTATTACAAATGACTGGAGGTCACCAGGTAATACTAATCCCGTGCGAATAGGGCTTTACACTTCTAACATTACATTGCTCATAATAACTTTCGTTAACTCTACAATAAGCAAATCTACTGCACCAGCTAATTACTCTTTAACAGCGATGCTTCAGAGCTACCGCAAAAATGGAAGTTCAAAGACCAAATTATAAAGATGGTTTCGCGCTTGTGTCTCAGACATACGGTCTATAGAAATTGTATTTTAGGGCTTAGTGCACCATCAGCTAACGTTAAATATGTTTAAACAAAAAACCTAATGACATTTTGATGACTTTAACCCTATTCGCATGGGGTTAGTATTACCTGGTGACCTCCAGTCATTTGTAATAATTGAGGAGGTTGTCTGTGATCTTAATCCCGTGCGAATCGGCCATGTCTGTAATTTGTAAAGTAAAAATTCCCCCACAAATGACCTACCATATTTCGCCGAACACCGAGGTCCTGTGATAATATTAGTCCCGTGCGAATCGACATCTCTGTGATTCGGCCAGTATTTAGCGGGTCGCATATCATTTTTCGAGGTTTTTGTTTGCTGTGCGCCTTTTTATCCATCTTTCGCTAAGAATGGAGCTGTGTTGGAGTGTTTGATAGTATTCTGGGTGCTGTCATCATATTGCTACACCATACAATTTGCAGAAAGAGAAAGCTGAAAAGGTTTTGAGGTTAATGTGTTACAAATAAATCAAGCATAAAGCTTGAGATATTATTTTAACTTGGTGAAATGTAAATGACACAGCGCACGAAAATATATTAATTTATTTTTTTTAAATCCATCTGGACCATAGAACGGGACTCTCAAAGCCTTGACATCCGGGTATCCGGGAGACAAGTCAGTAAATTTGAGTAAAATCACAGGCTTCGCTTATCACCACACGAAATTCAGATGTGTGTGGGGGGGGGGGGGGTTATTTCAAAATCACACAAGGTTCCCAGATAATACTAATCCCGTGGGAATAGGGCTTTAGAAAGTAAAAACACACCTTTCCGCAAGCCATGATTTGAGATATGTTATTCATGTCAGTAGCGCAAACACCAGGTATGTTTTTGTGCCAATTTTCATAAAATGTAAGCGGTTTCTAATGTATGTTTAAACGTATGTGAACATAGGCCTATGTGTCACAGCACTCTGCATGTGCGCAAAGTATTTTTGAATCCAATTGAGAAAATTGTTTGTTTTCACCGTTCCCCCTTAGTTAGTGGTTGTCATGGTTATTGATTTGATTTCATCATTATGTTCAGGTGTGTGTGTGTGTGTGTGTGTGTCATCAGGCCCGTAACCAGCTATGAGGCCACGACCGGACCGGACCTCTGTAAATTTTTCATGTTCAAAAATAAAATTTGTTCTTTGAATGACTAATTTGCTGTTAAACTCCTCATATGAATGCCTGCATGACATGTATAATTCAGTTTAGACAGTTTGCCAGAATGTTTAGCGTCCCTGTTATGAAATCGCTGCGAGACGCTGGCGGAGTGAACAAGTCTTGAGCGAGTTTGTAATAGCTGGATTGCCAAATCCAGCTATTACAAGTGTTTTTGGACTTGTCTTTTCCACTTAATGTAACACTTTAGAAAGTTAATAAAGTAGGAAGTTGCAGTTTAGAGTCAGCGATAT